TAACGCGATTAAAATATGATGAGGCACTGCGGTGCATTTGGGTAGTGGAAAAAAAGGAGATGCAGGAGGAAAGTAGTTGTGAGACCCCGAGGAGAGGGGCAAAAGATGGGAATTTGCACATGGTGAGTGGCATTCAGGGAGAATCAAGATTGACTTTTTGGCTTCTTTTTTAATCAGATCCATGGTGATTCTGTTCACTAAACAAAAATTACAGAAGTATCTAAGGAATTGTTATTGTATGTATCTCATACATGACATCTTATGGGGGAAGGAATCTACCTTTGAATGCAGAAGAACTTGGGTTTAATGTTATGTCTGCAATACATATTTTTGAAAGTAGTTTTTTGCATATCTCTTTTCCTTACGTTGCCAACATAAATGCCTCAGGGTTCCTATAGTCCTTGCACAACTTGGAACAAATATATAAAAAATGTTTTGCCACAGTGCGGGTCAAGCAGTACTGTGGTTATATGCTTTCTATCCCTGCTACAATATAAGCTTCTTCACAGTCTTGGGAGGTCTTCTCCTGTTTGCCATTCATCTATGCATACCTAGAAAAGTGCTAACACACATTAGGGATTCAAAGATATTAAATGTACAAAGAAGACTGTAAGTACAGTGAAAGTTTATTTTCCTTTAAAAAAGAACTAATCTGGTGTAAGTATAGTAAAGAGAATAATCCCAATCTCATCACTGTGACCCTTTTTCTCCTGCTACAGATACTTCTGTTAGATATGAAGGCCCAAGTGGTAGTGTTAACAGAAAGATGAGTCTACTGCTTCACTAGATGGCACCAAATCATTGCCCTAAAATAGAACTAACAAGAGGGAGTGAGGGGCAGAGCACTGGAGAACTAGAAAGTCTGATTATAATCTATATTAAATGTCTGTTGATGATCTCAGGGGGTATGTAAGAAATTTAACCATGCTTTTTCAGTCAAATTCTCACATGCATATAATTATATTCTGCAACTCTAAGAATGTGATATGATTTAATTAAGCACAGGGGAACTTTATTCTATTCAGTGTCTCATAGGAAAAAATTAAACATTTAGGAAAGCACACTCTACCTCAGTCAGGCCACTAGGGTGCATTGCTGTTGAAGCCTTTTTATAATTTTTACTTTCTCCAAAGCTTTAATTTTCTGGTAGTAATAAACTAAATGGCGCCTTAGTGTTCTCAATGACTTGTGATTTCCTTAGGACCATATTTATTATTTAGAAGTAACTCAGACCTTGAAGGGAATAAAGATAGTTTGTTTATAGAGCTTTAAAATTTATGTGATGCACCTTGTGACATTTTACTTAAAAGCGCATCCACTGAAAAAGTGAGGAAAAATGTATTCATCATTGCTGCAATTTTATTTTCTTCCCAGTCCATGTGTGCCCTTTGCTAATTGGCTGTGTGTATTGAGACGCTGATAGAAAGAGTGAGGACACCACTGATGAATGAGCCTGCCTGCTCTTCATATTTGACTGATAATACCATAGTTTTCCAATGTCCCGCTCTACAACTGAGCACCATAGCCACTGAATTTTACAACATTTGGAACTTTGAACCCTTGATAGGTCTTTTTCTTAGCATTTCTGCTAATGGGACTGATACTGATTAACATGTTTTCTCTCTCAGTTCCCTATGTTGGGATATTTGACAGTTGGGAAAGTCCAAGATAAAGATGGGCATGAACTTAAAAAGATTCTTAGAGATTCATTGATTCAGCTCCACCAGTTGGCAGATATATATATCTGTATGTCATATATGTAGATATATAGATATATATAGCATATATACGAGGCACTTACATAAACACGTACATATGTAGGTATATGCATTTGATTATGTGTGCATGTGTAATCAAACATACTTTTTTCATTGGAGTGATGCTTTTTCAAAGGGAAAATATAAAGATTCATCTGTATAAATATAAAGATTTTTTCAGGGAGCAGGTAGCTCCAGAAATGTTTTTTATGTCCTAATTAAGGATTGTGTTCCAGTTGATAAATTATCCTTTCTGCTCAGGGATGCTCTGCACGTGACTAATTGACATAAACATGATGAAATGGACAGCACTGCTTAATTCTTGAGACAAACAACATAAAAGAATTGCATTCATTATTTGTGGCACCACCTTCTCTTCTCTGGGAAGAGGAAGCTGAGGGCTGCTGATAACCAGAAAGAGTGTAAGAAATGTTAGATCTGCGGTCAGTGTCTTGTATCCACAGGTACCACCCTCTCAGATTTAATCAACCATTTATCAAAATGTGTACTGAGTATTTCAAATCACAATGTGCGTATTTCAAATATATTTGAAAAACAACTGTGTCTGTACTAAATATATACGGTGTATTTTTCTTGTCATTAAGCGACTCAGTCTATCAAGTGAAATAAATCAGACACACAAGGTTAAATATCCCATGGTTTCTCTTTTATGATAAAGCGACATATAAAGATAGTAGGAAGTAGAGAGGCACAGCTTTCCCAAATAGGAAGGGATCAGGTGAGGTGGAGGAGTGCAGGGAAAGGGATGAAAAAATGAAAGGATGTGTAAGTACACACACCGAGTCCACACAGGAGTGCATGTACTATAAGCATATACAAGTACAAAATTATAAATAAAATAGGTATTTGGATATTTCCAATGTAATCTTTAATGTAACTTGGTATTGATGCTACCTAATTCTTGATGTGAAAATTTCTCATCTTGTTTCATGGAGACCCCCATCTGGGATGCTAGCTAACTACTGTGGACATTACACTAAAGATAATTTCTTGATTGAAAAGAAATAAATTACAACACAACAGTGAACTTCAGTTATGTCAGTAATGTTTATCTATTGTATATTAGCTGTGAATTCCACAACTTGAATTACGATGCTAGAGCATATAAGAAAGATGTATAAGTATATGTTAAATGGATAACTTTTCTATTGCTTAATTGTAATTATGCTGTGCTATTTAGACATATAGGGCTAGTAAGAAGTTTAAAAAAACACGAAAATTAAATAATTCACCATTTGAAATAGCTAATATCTGGTTGAAAAGCTTACAAATAATTACTATGACTTCTGAAAGAATTAATTTGTTCAAAAAGTATTTCCCAAGTGTTTGTTTGTTTTTGGAGAGACAGGCATTGGGTGCTACAACATGTTGAGTGAATATGATAAAACTTTGTTCTTCTCCTCATGGAACAAAAGTCTAGCACATATATTCAATTACATAAACAATTGAATATTGAATCCGATCTTTACTAAATTATAAATGTTTGGAAATGCCTAATAGGGGGAAAAATAAGGATTCTGCAAGGATAGAGCATTTAAATGAACGAACAGTAGTTTGTCACGCGTGTTAAGTGGAAGTGTGTTGCTATGCTCCAGATAGGAAAGAGTGTGTCATAAGCAGGAGCACAGTGTCTCCTAACAGTCCCGCGTTAAGAGAGCAAAAGCTGAAAAAGAGAAGAGAGCCATGGGCTCATAAACTGGGCTACCCTCTAGGACACACGAATGTACGAGATTTTAGCAGGCCAAAATTATTTCAGATTTCTGTCTCAGAAAATATTTTTAGCAGTAAGGTGAACAATGAGTTGGATAGATGTGAAATACTAGAATCATGGAATCGACGTAACTAGTCCCTGACCCGTTATAGAAAGTACAGTGCGCACACTTAGAGAGGAATTAGGAGCTGAAGATTCCTGTGCACGTATTTAGCCTTTGGAGTTACTTTATTTCCCTTTGATTGATATTGTTGGACTCTTTTGTAAATTTTGACAGGATTATACTGAGACCTCTGATATGCTAATTCCCACATTTTTTGAGACCATGATGACTATAGGCAGAATTTTGTATTTTGGCTCTTTTTACATCATTCACATTACATCCTAAAATAATCTTTAAAATGTTCTTTTAAATCATACAAATTTTGTTTTAAACAGCTCGAATCAAGTTATAAGTGTTCTGTGCCAGAAACTAACCTTTTAAAATGCATTACTCCTTTTTTGTTGTAGCAGTTTTTCTTTACCCTGAAGGAATACCGACTATTGGTTTGCCCTCCCTGCCATGTGACATGACGTCAACAACTAAAACACTGTTCCCTAAATGGACCTTCAACCTCTTCTTTTTCAATTCATGGCTATTTATTAAGTTTGCATCTGAGTTGCAAGCCAGTCTCATAATGACTTCAGTTTAGCAACCAGCTCAGGGGCCCAAGGGAAGGGTTGCCCGACTTGACAAGACTGAACTGCACATTTTAGAGGCAGAGCTACAGTCCACATCCCGTGTCTCTTGCTTGACACTGGTAGAGTGGTGACTAACCAGATGCTTCTCCTCCTTTCTTTTTTGAGTAGATATAAGCAGTGTGGCAATTTTACAGTGGAAGAATCATTTAGCTATTTCTTTAAATGATTGCAGTGTCATAGTTTGCTCTAGGGAAATTACCTTTTCCTTAACCTCAAACTTTCCCCACTATCAAAAATATCCCCAGCTCTGCACTACAGAATAACTGAACATCACCCATTAAAAGTAAACAGATCAGGGCAAGGCATTTAGCTCAGTGGTTCCTCCTCCTGCTTCATAAGCCTAAGGTCCCGAATTCAATCCCCAGTAAAAAAAAAAAAAAAAAAAGAA